ACGTATACTTGAAGTTGTTTTTTAAGGTTGAATCCAAACTCCAAAGCATTTCATGTCTTGATCTGACAAGACATATAAGAGGTTATAAATCATGGTGGGTCAATCAGCTCAATGGTTGTAGATCTTATAGTCATGTGAACCCGAAGTCCGGTCCAGTACACAAGAGTTGTAACCTCCACACGGCCGCTGCTAGTTTTGATCATTTATCATTCCTTCAACTTTCTAGATTTGATCACTCGACCAACTCAGTTACCCGTGCAGGTTAGAAATTTCTAGATTCTTCGTGCTTCTTTTGGTTGATAATAATGATTTCTCCTGACTTATTGAAATATAAATCATCGATTGAAAATAGGGAAGGATCCGTAATTTAAATTCAAGTGGGGCGATTTTTTTTGCTAGTACATACACAACATGTAAATCTACCACACTCTAAATTTACAAAACGGAAAATATAACTATGATTTTATAATTGAGGTGCTCTGAAAATTTTATTGGAACATTAAAGCGTAAGAAACGTTTCAAAGTTGTCCGCGGCCTACAGATTTAGTATGGCCTCCATGTAATCATTTATTTAATTGAATTAATAAAAACTTATTTTAAACCAAAGTTGATACAAAAACAGATTTTGAAGCATTATTCCTGAAATAGAATATGTGTGTGTATGACTAATAGTTACTAACTTACTATTCTTTTCGTCCCGTTAAGATTGTCCCATTTTTTCTTTCGTGAAGTTCCACTAAAATTGTCTCATATCAAATTTGATAAAGTTTGTGTAGCTCTAAATCATTCTTATTTTATTCTTACTTTATCAATTTCAATCAAACACATTAACACTTTTTTTCTTAACCATGGCACATCCTCATCTCCCAATGTTAGTGGGATGGAGGTAGTATAATGTAGTGTCATATAGGGCCGTCAAATGAATTTGGAGGCTAGACCCTTGTTCTAAATGTAAAATCAAGGCCCCACATTAATGCAAAAAATTTAAAAAGAATCCCAATCCAAATGTTTATACTCAAATCAATTGAGTACTCATTAAAAGAGAACTAAAAGAGTAAAAGGACCAACGAAAAAAATAATGGATCTATATTTTTCTTTCTTAGTAATTGCATTTTAATGATTAGTATTAATATATAACATTACTAATAAATTTTTAGAAATTTGGGGCCTCGCAAATCCGGGGGCCCTATTCTAGATAACCTATTGACCCCCCTAATTAAAAATGTCTCTGGTGTCATAGTTATTATAGTGTTAAAATTTGAGTTAGGCTGTGTTCGGCACGTTCAATAAGCTAAAAAAGGGCTAGTTTTTTCTAAAATTGGCTAATTTTTATTAATCTAACCCTGTTTGGTTGCGGGGCTGAACAAGGCTTCAACTCGAAAAAGTGGGCTGAGGTGGAACGTTGAGGAGGGTAGCGTTTAGAAACCGTCTGTTATTTCCAGACTTCATATTCCCTTTATATCCCTGGTTATTGTACGGACGTTGTCACGCACATATATCCCTTTCCAAATACAATTCTTCTCCATCGGCTTACTCATGGACGCAAGATAGGAATTTTCTGGCAGCTACAGCCATAGGTTTTTAATTTCCCATCAACTTTATTTTTTCATGCTTCTTTTGCTCCATGCTTTTGCATCGACTACGACTAATTCTTACATTATCTTCTTAAAATTTTCAATTTGGCAGCAGCCTTTTACACGCATACATATATAAATAAATGTATTGAAATTTTAATAAAGGCTGAAATTATAAAAAATCATTATAATGAATCCGGAGTATATCTTATTTTATTAATAAATAATATGTCCTTCAATGTCATTTCATATTATCTCTGCAATGGTTCAGCTCTTTTTGCCAAACGGGTTTAATTCATTCAACTAGAAATTCAGATTCAGCACTATAAAGTTCAGCTTCAGGCAATAGTTTTCGATTCAGACAATAGCCCTTATATCAGACATTAGCCTCCAGTTCCAGCTCGTTGTGCCAAACATAACCTTAGTATGGCTAAATTTACTACCATAATTACCACACTTGACATGTCACATTTTTGTGAAGAACCTTTATTTTACTCTGTAACTATTATATAAAAATATTGTCTACAATTAAGCATGTTTGGTGAATTGGTGGGGCTAGCTAGGGATGTTGCCTTGACTAAAAATTGTCAACAAAGTCTTGATTGTAGTGAATTTTTACCACATTATCTCTTGAATTAAAAAGTAGGAAGAATAATAGGCTATTAAAATATCCATGTATTTTGGTCATCTTTTATTTTTTCATTCAAAGAATTACCTATATTTTAACTTATATTGTTATAGTATATGGTGCATTTCAGATTGTACTTTGCTTCTATTTAGAAGTATAATTAGGGGTCCTTTTCACGCTCCGACTCACCCTAAATTTGAAAAATGTTTATATGTATATGTTAAAAATTGTGTAAAAGTTTATTTGAAAAAAATCATTTTATCGGCCCATATTATTGTTACTAGCGATTACTCGCGCAAAGCGCGAGCGTATTTGCCCAATATTAAAATAATGTTGTCTTTTGTAAAAAAATGTGTTATATGCATAATTGTTACGAGAGTTTTGTAAATAGTTAATGAAATATTACATATAATATACTACACATATTTTAAAAAGGGAAAGTTCCTGAAATGGGATAAAAAACATTTGTAAATTCCAAAATAGGACTGTCATGTTTTTATTCCCAAAATAGGAGTAATTGCTACCAAGTTTGGAAAATACTGTCATGTTTGAAGTCTGGTACTGCCAAAACATGACACTAATTAGTCTCATTTTGGAAATTAAAAATATGGCAGTCCCATTTTGGAATTTACAAACGTTTTTAGTCTTATTTAGTGTAAATTCTTTTTTAAAAACTGTCGGAATAAATGAATAATTGTATTCCATGTCAACCAATTATTGTGTGGAAAATATTTGATTATGTTGTTCATCATTAATCAATATCAAAGAAATACATTAAGAATATTGATGTAAATCATTAATCAATATTAAAGAAATACATTAAGAATATTGATGTAAATATCATTGGAATGCACATAGTTGTGTACAAGCCAATTTTTACCAACAAATATTTGACATTCCTGACAAGGTTGTAATCATATGTGTTTGAAGTAATAAAAAGTTACATTTTAATCACATATTTACGCATGTAGCATCGACCTATATAGAAAAAAATATAAATAATGTGTTGAAAAGTTGAAGCATATTAAGAAATATATGATTGCTGAGTACAATAAATTGATTGCACAAAAAATGAAATATACCTACCCAGTGTAGTATTAATTCATTGATGATAGCAGAACATCTAAATCAAAACATGTCAAAAAATCATAGAAGTTAAGAATGGAACATAAAACATTTCTGAGAAGCAAACGTACATGTAATATAAGTACATTATAGTGTGTGGCATTATGCAACAACATTGATTGACTTGAAGATCCATACTTAACGTTCAACCCCCCAAACCACCCCAAATGACCCTAAATACCCAGCCCACCCCGGGAATTTAAAAAAAATGAAAAAAAAAAAGCCAGAAACCGTGCCAGGCCCGGTCGGGCCGGTTCGTCTATTGGGTGACTTGAGCCCGCACCGGAACCCGGGCCGGGCCACCGGGTCAGGCCGGTGCCAAATAGTGCGGTTCCGGGTTGGGCCACCCGGCCCGAGTCCACCACTAGATCCGTTAGAAAAAAAGAAATCACAAGATGTCAGATAGATATAAAACCGAGCAAGGTATCTGTTTTCAACCCCAGCTCTTCCACAATAGGAAGAGAAGAAACCAGCTCCTGAGGTTTTGGTTCCCTACTTCCCTTTAGGCCTTTACCTCTTAGAACTCGTCGATCTTGAACCGAACCAAACCAGGCCCGACCTTAGTGGCTTCGTCTCTTCAACTATACCCAACTACCCAGTCATGGACTTGGGCCGGGTGGCCCGACCCGGGACCGGTACTGTGCTGAACCGACCCGACCCGGGACCGGTACTGTGCTGAACCGACCCGACCCGGTGGTCCGGCCAGTGAACGGTCCAGGTAGGCCCAGCCCGGGGGGTTCCCAGTGCGGGCTCGGGTCACCCAAAAGCCGAAGTGGCCCTGCCGGTTCGGGCCCGATTCCTAGGGATGGACTCGGGCCGGGCGGCCCGGCCCGGTTGCTGTTTGAACCGGACCGGCTCGGGAACCGATCCAGGGGGCGGTTCGGGTCGGCCCGACCCGGTTACTGTGTGGTTCGGGCCCGAGCCCTTTGATTGGCGAACCGGCCCGGTCGGTTCGGGCCAAATTAATTTATTTTTTTTTGAATTTTTTTAAGTTTCTGGGTTGGGCTTGGTATTTTGGGCTATTTGAGAGGGTTTGGAGTGGTTTGGGGGTGAGGGGGGAGGGTTGGGGGTTAATTAGGAAAAGCCAAAAAAAAAAATAGAACCGAGGCCCGGCCCGGCCCGGACTCGGGATTGCCCGGGCCAGTTCCAGGCCTCCCATTTCGGAACCGAGGCCCGGCCGGGCCCGAACCGGAACCGGTCCACCCATACCGGTTCCGGGCTTTTTAATGTTTTTTTCAATATTTTTTTAACTTTTCGGGTTGGGCTGGGTATTTTGGGCCATTTGGGGTGGTTTGGGGGGTTGGGGGTGAGGGGGTTAATTAGGAAAAGGAAAAAAAAATTGACCCGAGGCCCGTCCCGGACCCGGTGGCTACCCGGGCCGGTCCCGATTCTTCCTTCCCAAAAGAAAAGCCTGGCCGGGCCCGGCCCGGTTCCATGACTACAACTACCCAAGGCCGGCTAAGATTAGTTCAAAACTTCAAACCAGTTCAGTATCACATATAATTACATTGTTGTATTAATTACTACAATTACAATCATTATTTAATCAGGAAGTGCTTGATACTAACTCTACATGTGTATAATGTATTTAGCAGAACTTGTGTTATAGTGATGTGTTATCATAAACGAAAATATGAAACTAGAATCATATTACTAATAATGCTTTTGGAGTTTGGGCAATTGGGCCATCGAGGAACCCAAAAATTAACTGTTAGTTATCCATGAATAAAATTACTCATTTTTTCATTTCCAAATTGTCATCAACTCCCCCAAACAAACAAACAAATTACAACGCCCTTGCGAATGTACAGTTAAAACATAATGTCATAATAAACAGACAGGTAACTAAACCACTACACAGTAAAAAGTACATAAACAAAATTTTTCAAACCCAACTAATTCCCTCCATCCTTCCAAATTAGATCCGATGCCTTTACCGTTTTAGCACACTTTTATAGCTTTCTAAAGGCCATTTTGACTAAACAAAATATAAGCAGGAAAGCTTACAGAAGCAAATTTTATCTAATTAAAAGCTAAATAGAACCCCCCCCCCCCCCCCCCCCCCCTTCTACTGAAAACTGTGGTTTCACCAATTAAGCAGCTTTAACTTTTCGAGAATGGGGGCGGCGGAAAAGGTTGATGAGATCATCAAGCCCCTGTTTAGCATCAGCATTGAAATCGTAATATAAGGTAGGGATCTTTAGCACATACTCCGTATTAAAAAAAAAATAAAGCTCAGGAATCATACCTTGGTTGTGATAACTAGAAAACTGAAAAGAGTAATCAAATACGATCCTAGAATTAATAGCAAAAGCAAGTCAAAGGTCACACTGGCAACCTGCAAAAGGATCACAATGTTATCCCAGTAGTTACAGAAATGAACAAAGCTGACAAAATTACCCCCATTTCACATCCCAAGAAGATTTGTAATAATAGATTAAGGACTGAAATCCTAATACTTGAAGTTTGAATGTTTGACAAGTAAAACTTGAACTAAAACCTGATATATATGTAATGTGCTACTTGTTGAATCGTAGAAAGTGAACATTCCATCAAGCACCTCGTGCTGAATGTGTGCATCAGCTGTATGACACGCCAATTCCTGCAATCAAACCGCAAAGTGCAAACTTGGTCAAACAGCTGATCTCCCAAACACTGCCAAACTTGTCATCCTGATTCTCTTATACATACAACAGATTCAGTTCCAAAACCACCGAGTTAAACAATACTCCCCCATTCCCGTATCAAGGTTCTCATAGTAAAAAAGACACGATTTTTTAGGCAAGCAATTAAATAAAGTAGTTTGAGCACAAAACATAGAAAAGAGACAAATCAAACAAAGGTAAATAATTAAAATAAATTGTTGGCTGTGTAGGAATGTAATCGAGTGGAGCGGAGTAATTTATGAATATTTGTGTTACTATGAGTGTGCATATTTAAATATAATAATGATAAAGTTGTAATTTAACACAATTAATCTTTTCCAAAAAAGGAAGAGTGTGTTCAGAAAAGGTAAGTGGGAACCTTAAATTGGGATGGAGGGAGTACTACATAGTACATACAGCACAAAATCATGTTGCAGACTCACATGCTCATAAATAAATTGTGAGACACATATGAATAGTGAAGAACAAGAACTCTGCATCCCTAGCAATATACCAAAGGTAGGTTTGCCAATCATGCAGTATGACATTGAAGGGCAAGAATTATAAACAAAGTTGTCCGGGATACAATGTTTTTGTAAGTTACCTTTTGTAAGGCCAGGACAAGTGCATCATTTTTTGAAAGGAAAGGTGCCACTCTAGGTGTTGTTGATAACAGATCAATCCAAGAACGTATGTAAAATGGATTAATAGCTAAGCTACCCCCATCTGCAAATATATTGATGCTTTTCCCCTCATGGCTGTATATGTGCTTCTGTGGATCAAAAAGAAATTTTAAGAGAAACAATACCCCATCTTTTGTGATATTCATAGTAGTTCAAAAAGTTGGGAAAGTGACGGTTCAGTCCAATATTCAGAATAACCAAGTGCCCCATCTTTTGTCGTAATCCAACATACAAATGTTCAATAATCGCCACAAAAGTGAAAAGTTAAGTGCCCCACATCAGTCTCCACCCCTTACTCGGGGTGTTGTAAAGGGATGTAGATCGCAACATTGTGTAGATCAGAAAGGGCAATAGTGAGCCTCAACATTTCTTTGTAATGCGACTATCAGCAACACACACTAAGAAAACATTTTTTAAACAATGTAAAAGTAGTAAAATATGACTAGAAGCATGGAATACCTCTAACAATGTTTTAAGGACTACATTTATGGATGGAAAAGGGCAATGATCCATTAATGCCGTACTAATATTATAAAGCAGCAGATATTCACTTATTTTAGAACAAATATTTTCTCTAATGCAATGGTTTAAGAGAGGGGTAGTTTATATATGGGAGTAAGAAGTCAGAGTTTAATTTGTCGACAATCTCTCGAAAGCAGTAACACCATACTTACGGCTAAACTTTCAGCAACAAGCTTGACAGCCTGAATAATTGAGGCTTCACTTACGGAATGTCTGCACAGTGAGTCATGATTAACAAAATAAATATCAAGACAATCAAGATAATATAGAATAAATAAAAAAAGTATACCACCTCCGCCCCTTGAAACTTAGTCATCATTGACTTAGTCATCATTGACTTTTGGGGTCAATGATGTTAAATTTTTGGGGTCAATGATGCTGATAATTTCGTATATTTGTATACGAAATTATTTATAATATGAAAGTGATACGAAAATATTCTTTGTTAAAAAGACTCTAAAAAGGAGAAGAAGAAGAAGAAGAAGAAGAGATTAAAACCTGTTATCAGCAAGACCTCCAGTGGTTTCTAGCAATTCAGGAGGAGATGAAAGTTCAGAAAGGGTTGCTGCAGTTACTCTTAGCTTTGAGAATTGTTCATGCTCCCAGGCTACCTACATCATTTTTAGCAGTTTGTCAGCAAAGTAAACAAGTGACTGTGGGCCTATTTAACAGTTGGGTTCAAGAAGTGAATCAAAAGGTGCACAGATAAAAAGACATGCTTTACAGCTCTGTTCACTTGCAACACCCCTCAGAAATTTACAAATATGATAGCATTACCCTAATTAGCAACTATGAGACAGTCTAAAAAAATTACTACATGTCTTTGAAAATCTAAATTCAGTCTCTATAACTATTATAGAGTAGAGTAGAGTTTCAATATTTTAGAGGATTCATCCTTATTTGACATTTTGACCAAAATATCAAAAGTCAATTCTACTAATTCAGAAAGTCATCTAGTTGTACATTTGATCATATCTTAGCTGTACATTTGATCATTTCTTAGTTTAGGATTATCCATATGAGACCTTTCATGTCATTGGAAAGATATATTCAAGTTCTACAACTAGTATACAAAAAATTTCTAATGTTTAAACTTAAAAGTATCCGTCCTTTGAATGAAATAGAAAACACGGAAAAAAAAGATTATTATACCCTCCAAAGCAATGACAGATTTCTCATCTAGTTCAGAAACCTATGATATGTTAAGCCAGTGAGGTGAGCTTGCCCCCAAAACTTGATTAAGTAGTTAATATCTCCTCTGTTGAGGATAAATTTTGGAATACTAGTTGGTGAATGCCCACTTTTGTTTCCTGGACGGAGAGGAGGTTATGTATAGTAGGAACCCAGAGAAAGATCCTTATTAACGGAAAGCGAGTAATGTATGTTTCTGTGACAATATCAAATGCTAGCATACAAATAAAAAGTATACAAAGAAAAAAAAATCCATTATACACACACACACACAAAGAGCATGGTTCATCAAGTAGTTCCTTAGAGAAGAGTAAGATCATCTAAAAATAAGCCAGTTTCAATGAACCTAATTTTCAGAGTGCCATACACACCACGCTTATCTACTTACCCGGGGATTGGATATGTTAATTTTCTTGTGCTTAAGACCAATTTGAAGCCCTATTTCTTCAGCAACATTAGAAAAGTCCTGCAAAAATCACACCATTAGTCTAGAATGTTCAGAAGTGTTCAAATTTGGTCACTACTCACTAGTAATAATAATGATGATATAAATATAAGAACTGGTCATTGACCGGTGGAACCTGATTTCAGAGATATACTTTTTTAGTCACAAATAGTGATGTATCAGTAACCGCCCTATTGATTTGTGTTTATCACTTTTAAGAATACTTTGAAATTAGGTGTACTGTGGTAAATTGCTTCCAACACTAGCACAGCGGAATTTATTTCAAGAATTTCCATCCTACCTGAAAGATTTGCTTTATGTATGCATTTTCGGGAGGTTTAGAAACATGCATCCATAACTCATTGTTGGATGAACCAATGCTATTCAAGCAAATAGCATAATCTATACTCTCACGTAGACGTTGGTCAAAACTTCGAAGCCACTGCAAACCAAGATTACAAAGTCAGCCAATGGAAAGATATTTAATTCATATGAAGATTCAGAAAGTAAATCTGGAAAGAGAGGCACCTTATATGTTCCGTTGTAGTTATAAGGCCCACCAGATGTCAATCCAAAAAGTATATTATACCTGCCTCTTGTATTTGGATTTGAATAAAGAATGGAAAACAGCCTAGCTAATTCAAGAAGTGCCACAACACCACTTCCGTTGCTATCACCCCCTACAGACAATGCCTACCAACATAAAGTTATACATTAAGATGTTAAGAAAATTGATATTCTAATGTAATACAAATAAATAAATAAAAACAAATAAATAAATAAATTAATCACTGCATGCAAACAACAACTTACCGGTGCAGCACCAAAAGTATCATATGATGCAACTATGGCAATAGTTGGGAGTTGGCTTTCACCGTCACTTTTCAAGCCCGGTAACCATCCCTGATAGTTTTATAATATCAGAACAGATTAATTATGTATCATAAAACTTTAACAATGAAAAAACTTCTTCACAAAAATTATTGACTTAGAAACTATGCTTAGAGGTTATTTTAGATCAAACGTTCTTTTAATTAGCACTTAGCAGATAAACTTGTTGGAACATGCAATGAAATGATTTGCACTAATTCAAAGTTAGAGGAAGGGGGTGAGGAATTTCCATGCTTCCTCCATTAACCAAATTAAATGTCCTGTGCACCAAGCCATGCTATACATTTTCCTTTTTCCAAAAACCAGCAAGTTGTAACCAACCTATCTGCTTCCTAAATATTTTCAAAAAACCAGTTATAGATGATCCTACAAACATTGTACTGCATGAGTGGAGGACAACTAATGAAAACCTGGATATTTGAAATGGTGGGAGATGCAATTTTCTTTGGTTCTCGAGCAGAAACGACAAGCTTGAATCTGTAAAGGATCAAATATTATTCAGTGGTTCAGCAAAATGATGGCAAAGAAATCAATATTGACACTAACAATTTAGGTTGGCTGTTGGCATAATATTTCCACAATTCGTGCTCATAAGAAGTAGAACATATAAATGGAAAATAGGAAACTATTTGAATGGAGAAACTAGGCGAATATATTGACTCAAACCCAGAAAAGGAGAAGAAATGTTTAACTTTCAAAATCACATAAATATAACCATATATTTCTATAACAATGTAACAAGCTTTCAAGATTGATTAAAAGTACGAAATTTTAATTCCACTTGGTGAATGCATAACCATTTAGCTAAAAGCTGGCATGTATGAAAGTTAGCAATCATGTAAATCTTGGCAAACGCGGTTACAATACCTACAAGAAATAGATTTAAATCCATTTCTGGGAACAAAAATAGTTTAATTCAAAAGCACCAAGAGTGCAAAATGCAAATAGTCAAATACAGAACATACGGAACACTTAAAACAAAATACATAATAAGACACATGCATCTACTAACCCGCCTGTTGTGGCTGTTGCAGGCTGACCAATAGCGTCACTTCTCTTGATATCAGCCAAAACAGGACCGATACTATCATCCTCAAAAGCAAAATAAACAGGATACTGAAACAGACAATAACACAGTTGAATAACTTTGCATAAGGTTAAAGAGGAGACAAAAGCAAAGATTCAATTATCTGTGACAAGTGAAAACACCAGCAAATTAAAAACTAGCAAATGCAAAGGCCCCTTGTCATAATGTTTTAAAAATACACATATTCACCCACCGGGATGTTTACATGAATGAGCAACTGTTCCAACTCATTCAATATGCTCCTTGTGCGGTCTATATCAGAATAGGCATCAGCTTCGCCAGCAGCGTGAAGGTTATCTGGACTAAATTTTGGTGGGAGTAATAAAAGTAAACCCCCCAACAACTTTTTCTGTCCAATATATTCTGCAATAAGATAAAAAAGTAGGATGAACAATCTTACTTGAAAGATAAAGCTGCAGAAATTGCAAACAATGACAACAACAATAGCTTTATCTGTTCAATATGTTCTACCATAAGGTGAGAAACTAGCAAAGGAAATATTAATTAAAAGACCAAGGATGGCTCAACTACAAAAGCAAATTTCATGCAGATAGAAAATAAAATTGATAAAGACCATAACCAAGTTTAATATTGCACAAACTGAATAGGCATAACTCAAATTCATCAAAGTGTTCAACGTTAAGATATGCGATTGGCTGATTGCAAAGTTTAAAAAGATAAAATAAAAAAGAGAGAATTCCCTAAATAGGAGTAAAAACGTTTTGAAATTCCAAAATAGGAGTATCATGTTTTTTATTCCCTAAATAGGAGTAAATTTATGCCAAGTTTGGAAATTATAAGGCTTTAAACATGACATTTTTTCCAAACTTGGCAGATTACTCTTATTCAGGGAATAAAAAAAATAATACTCCTATTTTGGAATTTCAAAACATTTTTACTCCTATTTCGGGCAATTTCTGAATAAAAAATTAAAGATACAATAGTGTTTCATTGTGATAAATTTGCAATGGTCCTTTCATGAAGCAGGTTTATGAAGCAAGAATTCTACATGCTTGTTATGGCCAGCTTATATTAGAGCTTTTCAGCTTCAGAATCTTGGTAAAGCCTAAAAGTAGTCATTCCAGACGGATTAGAGAAATCTTTTAAAAAAAATCAGCATCTTGGACAAAAACCCTAAATATAGAAAACAGATTCTGTTTGATATGAAACTCATGGTAGCACTCATTTTTATTTAAGTCGCTATATCCATACCATAACTTTGAAAGTTATCAGGAGTGCAGAACTATAGAAGTAATATCTGAAAATAATTTGATTTTTATAAATGTTCTAATATGCTTAAAGCAAAGAGTATAATAATTAAATAAGAATTAGGAACAATAGATAATCAGATAACTCGAAACAACAACAGAATCATGTCTTGAGCTTACAAGCAGTTGGTTCAGTTCTGTTAATTATTTTTGGCTTGTGAAGCATGCTATAACTTTTTGTCTCCCTGTTTCCAATAGCTAAAATTTCATCCTTGCATTTGAGCCACATCTTCAATGTAATTATAGACATGTGGCCAAAAGATGATGACTAATAGAGTAAGATTTAGATGGTACACAAGAAGGTGTATCCGTTTGAAGTGAACATTACAAGTAGTCTCCAAAAGATGATGGAAAAAAGATAATATTATTGTTTCCAGATCAAGAATCTATATTACCAATTAATATAAGACTTTATTTTGTTATTATATTCTACTTTGAATGCTTTCCTTGCTCCATTGTTTCTTTAAACAATTATTTCTATTCTTATAAAACCTATATCATACTATTTCTCTAATCAAGTTGAAGAAGAATAAACACTTACGTCACCCACAAGAATCATAAGACCATTGCGATCTAATTTATATAATAGGGGTTGTAACTTTCATCTATATTTACAACCAAATTAAATAGTAAAGCCTCATCAAAAGGTATTGGAGCATAAGTTGTTCCTTTGACTGCAGTTCTAGCAAGCCTAGCATAACCGCATTTAATGAAATGCACCACCATATAAAGGTTAGCAAGCTAAATTACAGCTCCTGGAAAAAGGCATAAAGGAAGCAGTCCATCGAAGATATAAAGAAAGTGCAGAGAAACTAAATAAACTTAAGATTCACTCAAAGCTTGGACCTTTTTTCTACAGAGTCAAAATGCATTTAATAGTAACCATAAAAGGCCACGACCCAATACAATAAAACCTCGAGCTAGTTCGGGCAGTAAACTAAACACACCTTTGATGAGAGTGAGATTCAATTCACGAAGTGGAAGCATGATAACAGACCGCGAGAGATCAGCAATGGAACCGGGCCCGGAGGCAGATGACAATAAAGATGAGCTGGCGTGATGATTGAGAGAGGCGAGCCGAGATCCATATGGGACGCCGGACAGATCATACTGGACGAGGCGGTAGACGTCGACGGCGGTGACGGCATCGCCGAGCTCAACGCAAGCGAAGAGCACGAAGACCAGAACCATCACTGAGTAATAGACAGTGGCCAGGACCTCCGGCTTGCTCGGTTCACTGGCCATTGCAGAAGAGTTGGACTGAAAGTGTGAGGGTTTGGAAGAAGATAAAACCAATGCCGGTTGATCTGACGGCTGACCAATGGCTCGTTTTGTAATTTTGATTCAACTGTGCATTTGGTTCGGGTGATTCATAATTCCCAGATAACAGAACTCCAACTAAGGATGGCGGGGCCCGTGGGGGGAGTTGGGGTGGGTGGTGGGGTGGGGAGATAGTTTCTCCCCGCATAAATATGGGGCGGGTGATGGATTATCCACTCCCGCACCGTCCCCGCCCCGTCCCCCGTAATAATTAATAATAATAATCTCAATAATAATACTAATAATTACTAATAATAATAGTAATACTAATACGAAGTAATTAAAATAGCATGGTGGCCCGGTGGGTTTAGTGGTTTACTATCTAATCGATTGTGTCTAATGGGTCTATCTAATTCTTGTTTAATAATTAAGCTATCTTGTAAAATTGCTTATCAAAATCATAAAGTACAATGATTTTTTTAGGGATAAAGTAAAATGAATTTGGGAAAGTTATAAAGTGATATTAGCTTAAACGCCTCATGCACGTTGTGAATGTTTTTTTCCTTTACTATTACAATGTGTTGGGTTAAGGGCCCAAGCCGAGGTCCGGCCCACTAACCCTTCCTTCACCAGACGTACGTCCAGTCAAACCTCAACACCAGCCCGCAGGACCACATTCCTTGGGAAGGGACGAACGTCTGGGATTGGGAGCTCAGGCCCAGCGGATGACAACGAACGTCCCCATGGCGAGTCTGTAGTCATCCGAGGAAGTCCAGTCCACATGAAGAAAACCCACGAGGCCAGGAGACGAACAGCCGGAACCTCTTGGGGATCACTTGGGGCGATCCAGCTCGCTTCCCTGGCGGACGAACGTGCCCATTATTTAGGCGGGAAACCTAGATTCTGGCGGGAAGTGCATTTAATGCAGAAGATTTGGTGGTTGGGGCACAAGCGGTCCACAGGCCTCCACGTCAGCATAGCCACCTGCCCATTGGCGGGTATAAATAGAAGCATTTATTTCATTGTAAAGGGTTGACAACTTTCTATTCTTAGCACTCTAGCTATAGCATTCTTACTCGCAGCGCTTCTACTGCCTTGTAAGACGAACGGCCGACGGAGCCTTTAGCAAAAAGTATTGTATTAGGGAGTTATTAAGAGATAATAATACCTAATCATTTACTTGCTACTTCTTGTTCTCTATAATCCATATCATCTGCTTGTTGGGCTAGATATCCATACACTCACTCCACTCGAAATCCTTGGGCTTACGTGTTGGGCCCGAGGGTTGAAGGAATAAACCTCAACACTGGCGCCGTCTGTGGGAAACTGAACTAAAAGTTTCCAAAAAACTCTCCCAAGCAGCTACTAAATCTACCCAAAGCAGGCACGATGACAAGAAACAACCGCCAACGCGATCTCTCCGAGCAGTTGTCCCGCGGACGGAGCAACCGCGGGCAAACCACGGAACGCTCCGAGACGTTGGGGACGACTGGGGGTGAGGGTGGCCTCACAAACCTCATCCCCCATGAAGCCAGGCATGACCCTCGATTTATGAGGGAACTGGCGGAAACAATGCGCCGAATGGCGGATGAACAGGAGGCGAACGAGGAGGTGCATTCAGCCAACACCATCTGGACGCCCATATCGCCTGTCCACCGCATGCAGACCCTGGATGAGACAGCGGAATCTGCCGGGCGCCGGACACCCATCCACATGAGGTTGGGCCAGAATCCGTCTTCCCGTGGAGCTGGGGAGCACACCAGCGCCAACACACCCCGCTATGGTTGGCAAGATGACCACCGGGGACGCACGCCGGATGTTCCCTCCGAACAGCGGGGCACTGTCATTACCCCCGCCGCCAGTAACATTGGACGACGTTTCCAAAGACATGGCGCCCACATCACACGAAGGCAACCCGACGCGGTTGCCCCACGAAGAAACATTGCGCTCGAGGCCGCCCCTCCTGTGTCCCCCGGAAGGGCCGCACAGGAGGCCCGGCTAGAGGCAATGGAGCGGCGATTAGCTGCGATGGATAGACGGGCGGAGGCCACCCCAGCCACGCCGCGTTTTTTCCCTCACTTCACCTTTCACCCCGAGGGTCATGAATGCGGAGATTTCGCGGGACTGCAGACCCCCTCAGGGAATAGTATACAACGGGACCGGAGATCCTAAGGCTCACCTGATCAGCTTCCAGGGGAACCTCTCTATGCTGGGGGCATCTGATGAGGCCATCTGCCGGCTCTTCTTCAGCACCCTGAGGGGTCCGGCGCAAGAATGGTTCGGGCAGCTGAGGCCCGGATCCATTGATAATTACGAACAGCTGTCCCAGCAGTTCATGGCACAATTCGCTGCCAGCACCACCCCCAAGAAGAGCTTCACATCGCTCACAAGTGTGAAGCAGGGGAAGGACGAACCTCTGGCCCAATTCTTGGTCAGATGGAGAGATGAAGTGCTTCAGGTGGATGACCTGGATGAGCGGCTAGGAGTGAACATGTTCACCAGCGCTCTAGCAACGGGGGACCTATATCGGGACCTTCGGAGGAATCCCAGCACCAGCTATACCGAGGTGCTGGCTCGGGCGCAGAAGTACGCCTCCATTGAGGAGGAGATCAGGTTGCGGGACGGCGCGCCTGCCGCCCCTTCCCGAAAGTTGGCGGATAGGCTCGGTCCCGGAGGCGGGCCATCCCCCCCGAGCAAAAAGAAGAAGACGGACGGCGGCATGGTTCCGTGGAAGGCTCATCCGGAGGCCAGCCGCGTACGCCCGGAGGAATACCACGTCCCTCTGGCCTACCCCGTCAGCCAGATTTTTGACGCAATCAAAGACAAGGGCATCCTAAGGGAGCCACAAGACAAGAAGGCCCTTATGGGTCACGATGAGACCGCATATTGCGAGTACCACCAGAGGGTCGGCCACCTCACCGACCACTGCAGACAGCTGAGAATGGCCATCGACGAGCTGGTCCGGCAGGGCTACCTGGGCGAGTTCACCCAACTACTGAAGAAGAATAGCCCGAGGCAGCCGAACCCGAGATCGCGATCATGGCGCCGCGACGATCGGCGCGAGGCGGAACCAAAGGACGTAGACTATCGGAGTGCTGATAAACGTCCGGAGGGGTCCCTCGGCCCGAACGGCGGAAAGAAGAAGTTGGAGATCAAAGTGATCTTCGGGGGCGCAGAGACCGGGGACACGCCTGCGGAACGGAAGAAGTTTGAGAGGTCCCTCTATGTGGGCTCCATATCAGCACCCCCCACCAAAAAGAACAAGGTAGAGGCCATCACCTTTGGGCCGGCCGACCTACCGATGTCACCGGCCCCCCACATGGATGAGTTGGTGATCAGCATGGACGTCAACAATGCGATCGTCCGACGCGTCCTTGTTGATACGGGCAGCAGCGTGAATGTCCTCTACTGGGAGGCATTCGAGGGAATGAAGTTGAGGAAGGACCAGCTGGCCCCCCTACGTACCCCTCTTTCTGGCTTCACAGGGGACTGCATCGATGCGGAGGGTACCATCGGCCTCCCCGTTGAGATCGGGGATGGACCTCACACCACCCGCATCCGGATGACGTTCGTCGTGGTCCGCCTAAAATGTGCTCACAACGCAATTTTGGGCCGGCCCGGCTTGGAGGATCTTGAGGCCATCTGCTCCGTGCGGCACTCATGCATCAAATTCCCCACCGAGACAGGGGTGGGAGTCGCCCGCACGGATCCGCACATGGCCAGGGCCTGCTACACCAAGGCCATGGAGAGGTTCAGAGAGCGAGAAGCCCGGGTCAACAGCATCACTGAGAAAGCCAGGCAGGCTGACTTCGACGCTCGTATGGAACCTGCGGCCCTGCTCGAGGAAGTGGAGCTGGATGATCCCTCGGACAGGAAGGTGTCCATCGGCGCCGACCTCGAACCTGAGATCAAGGAAGGGGTCATAGCTGTCCTCCGGAAGTTCAAAGTCCTATTTGCCAGAGGGCCGGAGGACATGCCCGGGATAGACCCCAACCTCATCTGCCACAGACTCGCCGTACGGCCGGATGCCAAGCCCATACAGCAGAAGAAGAGGTACATGGCAGCCGAACGGCGAGAATTCATCAAAAAGGAGGCAGCTACGCTCCTTAACATCAAGCACATCCGACCGGTCATCCACGTGGAGTGGTTGGCCAACGTAGTATTAGCCCCAAAGGGCGACACATGGCGGATGTGCGTCGACTATTCGGACCTCAACAAGGCCTGCCCGATGGATCCGTATCCAGTGCCAAGGATCGACTTGCTCGTAGATGAAACGGCGGGCTGCGAGCTGCTCAGCTTCATGGATGCATTCAGGGGCTACCACCAGGTATTCATGCATCCTGATGATGCAGAAAAAACGGCGTTCGTCACAGCGGAGGGCGTGTACTGTTATGTGGTCATGCCGTTCGGACTGAGGAATGCCATGGCTACCTTCCAGAGAATGATCGGGATGTTGTTCAAAGACGTACTAGGGAAAACCATGGAGGCTTACGTGGACGACATCCTGATCAAGAGCAAGAAGAGGGAGGACCACATCCGGGATATGGAGAGGATCTTCACCATCATGGAGGAGGCTAGCATGAGGCTAAATCCAAAGAAGTGTGCTTTTGCCGTCAAGGGCGGCAAGTTCCTCGGCTACATGATGAGTGAGCGGGGAATCGAGCCTAACCCAGAGAAGGTAAAAGCAATAGTTGACATGGAGGCCCCGAAGAATCTGAAGGATGTGCAGCGCCTCACCGGGAGACTGGCAGCCCTGAGCCGATTCATGTCAAAACTAGCAGATAAGGCAATTCCCTTCTTTCAGATCATGAAGAAGGCAAATCCCTTCGAGTGGACACCAGAGTGCCAAGCTGCCTTCGAAGATTTCAAGATATACCTCTCTTCTCCGCTCGTCCTCACCAAGGCGGACCCCGGGGAGCAACTGTACATGTACTTGGCGGTGGCAGACTTGGCCGTGAGTGCTGTGCTACTCAAGGAGGCAGAGGGCGTTCAGCGACCGATCTATTTCGTGAGCAAGGCGCTGAACGGTCCGGAGACCAGATACACACTGATGGAGAAGACGATCCTCGCCTTGATAGCATCCATCAAACGCCTG